CCCCGTCACTGGACAAGCTAGGGTCGTACCTGGTTATTAACTAATTCTGGATGCCAGGCCCCACCACAATCCGGGATCAACATCCCCATATCTCAAATCCGGGATCAACATCCCAATATCTCAAATCCGGGGTCAACACCCCAATATCACAAATCCGGGATCAACATCCCAATATCATAAATCCGGGGTCAACACCCCAACCAACAAACCCTCTGGAAAGACACCACAGAACTAGTCTCTAACCATCTAGTCGTACTACTACTTTCCAAGTGACAATTACATCATCTCAATTCAATTCCAATTTCCGTTATCCTTTTCCCAATTATCCACAATCAATAATCCAACATCATCCTCAACACATCATCCAAGAACCAATATCACAAGCCAGTAATTACTCAACTTTTAATCATCACAGGATATTTCTCAGCACAACCAAACAACAATTTCATATCACCAAACTTTCACATCAAACAATTCAACAATATCAAACCGTTCAACAATATTTCCAACACGGCATACACAGGACTAACACGTTTCTACAACAGCATCAACAATACCATAGCAATCATGTAACAGTCAACAATCATTCCAGCAGATCAGACAAACAACAAAAACACACAAACCACAAAACTACACACACAGCATTACGGGCACATATCAGGGTTTATCCATCCTCACCTGGTATGTCTCTGAAACTGCTATCCGGTCAAATCCCGATACCCTATACGTATATATAGGAACACAATAATCACTTATGATGCACAACAAAATGATCATGCATGATACCGGTTAAGAAATCGTTATACGGCTTGCCTTATCCAATTTCTTTATTATGAAATTAACCTCTTTATTCATTATACCATTTATACTTAATTTCAAATTAAAACCGAAACCGAGTTTCTTATCGATATTCTAATTATTCTTAATTTTTAAATTAAAACCAAAACCGAACGTTCAAGCCGATATCATAGTATAAAGTAGATAGCATTTTATAATACTATCTTTCCCAAAATAATACCGTGTAAACATCGGTTGTAATAATTAAAGTAGTGACATCGTCAAGTACACAGTAATAATCATATTTGTAATATTTCCGATAGTAAAACTGTTACATGGGAATAGTGTCATCGGAAGTTAATTTACATAGACGGTATATGGTATAAATTATTCGTATTATAATGTTGTAAAGCATTATTTAAAATTCGTATATCATTATATCACCGATAATTATAAATAAGATAAAGATATTAATATTTTCGAAACTCATTATATAGTGTAACACACGTACCTAATACATTAAATTAGTATAGCTCAAACTAATAAAATCTTTAGATGGAATAATATAACTAATATAATATTTCATCAAAATATTAATGCCACTATCATAGTTCCGGTTCTTAGGAAATTATATAAGCTCCTCGTGATCACAAAATAAATCATGTGCGGGTTGTATTTATATTAGACATAGTTAAATCCGAAATCGAATCGTTTTAATCCGTAGTTTAAATCGTTAACCCCTTATTTATATAATTCGTCCACGTGTTTCTCTTATATATCGGTTTCGTTATTAAGTCCGTCAAATGCATATATATATATGTTGCGATAATATGGGCCTCCGCACGTTCGGCCCGTTTTCGAGTCCGTTGTGCAATCCGTGCCCAAACCGAGCTCATGGTATTAACAAGTCCAAGGAATTACCCAAGGTCCGTTTCCGGGCTCGCCGGAAAAATCCCAAGGCTTCGCCGGAATAAACCCGAGACTGCCGGATTCCGGCGAACACTGTTCACGGCAGCAACACCCAACATCCTCGGTTACTGTTCATCGCAGACCCAACACTGTCAACACCGAGGTACTGTTCACGACTACCTCTTTGCTGCTGTCCACTGTTCGTCACCACCGATTCTGCCCCAAGGCACTGTATCCCACACCACAACAGCTCCATGAGAGGTATCACGCACCCAACACCCCGATTCAACCAACACAAACCAAAACACAAACAACACCAATCAATCCAAGACCACAGAGTTCGATTTAAAGTAAAGAGGAAGGGCTATAGAGGGGAGAGGAGTGTGCCGTTGTTGATCTTACCCTCACAATCACGCGGCGGCGCGAGTTGCAGAAGGCAGGAAGAGATCGACGGCGAGAAGGAGGAAGAGGAGACAGGAACCTGGGGGGAAGAGGAGAGGAGGAGACGGGACACGGCGGTGTCGTACCCGTCTTGGTGGCTGTGGCGGCGTCTGGCTGCAGCGGTAGTGGAGAGAGGCGGTGGTGCGACGGCTCAGCGACGACGACGGCTGGGCGCGAGAGGAACAGCGACGGCGGCGTCGCAAGGGAGAAGAGCGAGGGAGGGGCCCGACGCGGCGATCTGCATTGGCGGCGCGTCCTGACGGCGGCGAGGGGAAGGAGAAGGCGTCACGGTGGAGGAGCTGCAGAGGAGGAAACGGTGGCGTCCTGCAAGCGTCAGCAGCGGCGGTTTCGATGGCGGCGAGGTGAGCAGAGCACGGGCGGCAGCGATTTGTGGTGAGGGGAAGAGGAAGGAAGCGATGGAAGGGAATGGTTGCAGGGGAGAGGAGCCGGTGGCGGCTTGGTGGTGAGAGAGAGGATGTGGGGGCTCGGGCAAGGAGAAGAGAAGATAAGGAAGAAGGGAAAAGAGAAAAAGGTGGGAGTGGGGCTGGTTAGTCACGGGTGAAGAGGTGTGGGCGGCTGGAAGGAAAAGAAAAAGGGAAAGGATAAGGAGAAGGAGAAAGGAAGGAAAAGAAAGAAAAGAAGAAGAGAGGTGGGGCCCGCGGCTGAAGGAAAACCCGGGAGAGAGAAGAAACGTTGCCGGGAAAGAGGAAGAGGAAGAAAAAAGAAAGAAGAAGAGTGGCTCGGGCAACCACATTCGGCCGGTCCGGATTCTCGTGTCGGAATCCCGTAAACGCAGGGATACTCCCGTCTTTCCAACAAACTCCGTCCCGAGTCCAAAAATACAACTTGGGCTCGGAAAATCCGATTAATTTCCTTGAACGTCGTCCAAGTCTCGGAACTGAAAACCGAGGCTCGGTTAGTTAGGAAGATACTCCCGAGCGCGGGAAAATTCTCGGTTTCGAAAAATGACTACCGATTTACCTCGAATTAATTACCCAAGATTAATTCAACAGTAAATCACGGTAAAACAATTTCTACAGTCCCGGTAAAAATTCAAATTTTACTCGGAATGTTACAGTTATGTATTTGCCTTACTAAATAGGATAAGTACTTATTTAGTTTCAAGCCATAAAACTATTTTTCTAAAACAAAAATAAAAATAATTTTTTTATTCTCTTAAAGTAAATGTTATCTAAGTGTTCTTTTTTCTATTAAGGAAAATACACTTCTTATTACTAATAGTCTCTTAAAATAATTTATGATTTTTCATAACTTATAAATGAATTATGGGAAAAACACAATTTTTTTTAGAAAAATTCTAAAGAGATGGTTGGTACTTAGTTTAAATTATAGAAAAAAAATATATGTTTCTAAATTAAAGTTGGATAGTCAAAGGGAAAAGAAGGTTATAAATTTTACTAATATTTTTCTGTTATAAAGCAAGCTACTGTTAAAAAAATGCAATTAGGCATATGCAAGTCCTCCTGCAGTAAGCATGCTTTTGGCGAAAAGAATTATTATATTAGCCAAAGCTAAAATACCACACACACTCCGGAAGAGTTAGTCGGGAGGGCGGAAAGAAATGTTAAAAGAGTTGAGGGAAGAGGAGAAAGAAACGTCAACCGTTTCACATAGAGAGGGAAATTTTCTTTTCCATGTGTCAAATTTAGAACCTCCACTCTTCAAATTTATATTACATAATTTATATATATATGTAATAGATCTTGAGCCAATCGAGAAATAAAACTATAAATTCTTAAATTTCTCTCATCTTGAAAGTCCCCTAGATATTCTTTTAAGTTATCTATGCTACGGCTTTCGCATTTAAGAACAAGAATGGATATCAAAGATTTTTGAGGTTACAAAGACGTGTTTAAAAGTTATGAGTTGATATCGGTAGTTTGAATCATGACTTAGTGGATATAATATGGATATTAATCATTATACATTAAAATAAATATATTTTCCTTACAAAATTAGAGATGAATCAAACTAAAAATTAATAGCATAATCCAATTTTATACTAAAGTCTACTGCATCCCATTGCAAAAATTTGAGATCGTATCCTATTTTCTCCAAACCAAACACATACATAATTCATACCAGGCCAAGCCAACCCTTACGAGCTTCCTCATTCCTCCCTTGAAGAGAACATCTGCATAGGCTACAGGATATGCCATGGGTTTTGGGCCCTTGCAAGATCTGGCCCATTTTTTGGTCGAGACCGATGAACTAGTCTTGGGCCTCATTGATCGTAGGCCTAAAAAAAGAATACTGAACTTTACTACTTAGAAACCTTTTTCTTCAAACGGCTCCGTTTTGTAGGCGTATGACAGCAGCAACACCCACCGTCCCCGATGTCTCAAATATCCACTAGCAGAGATTTTTTCCAATACAACTATCTACTATGAGCTACCTCCCGCCTCCATCATCATCCAAATCCCAAGAAACAAAGAAAAAAAACTAAAACAACAGAAATGGCAGTAACACACCTCACTAGGCACCAATTATCCACCTTAGCCAATCGACCATTTTCTCTCCTCCGCCGCCCCAACCTCCTCATCTTCTCCTCCCTCAAACTCAACCTCCCCACAATCGTCAAACCCAAATCCACGCTCTCCGTCGCCGAGCCCATCCCCCTCACTCAACTCTCCGGCTCCGACGCCGGCGACGTCGTTTTCCCGCCCCAACCCCAGCTCACGCTCGACAAGCTCTTCGTCCCGCCGGAGACGGAGGTTTCCTTCGACGAGGACAGTAACCTGACCGCCAGAGTCCTGAAGGGGTCGAATATAGTGGTGAGCAAGTACGCGAGGGACGCCCAGGTGGTGCAGGCGGAGTTCGTGAAGAGTAGCGTCAAGACGGAGGACTGCCCTTCTGATGGGTCCCCGGAGTTCGCCCTCGTCGGGAGGTCTAATGTTGGTAAATCTTCGCTACTCAATTCCCTTGTGAGAAGGAAACGGCTCGCCCTCACCTCTAAAACGCCCGGTTTGTGTTCTGCTTCATAATATAATGGTTTTTCTACAGCTCATTGGTTATTTCAGTCTAGTTTAGTCTTACTTGACAAGGGTTTTGATTAAATTTTGCTTGTTTTGCTTTGCATTTATTGTTATCCTTTTAAAGGGAAGACGCGATGTATCAACCACTTTCGGGTCAATGATAGCTGGTACTTGGTCGATTTGCCTGGATATGGGTATGGTTTTAATATTTTCATTATACGTACTGTACATTGGTTGATTTGGAATGTTTACTGGGTTTCACTTGCTGTGGTGGTATTATCCCACTGTTGCTAGACTAGATTTTCGCCGCATGTGTCTAGCTCTATCCTGGAATGTACAGTTCTTGAGGGCGTTTAATACCTTGCTGCCTGAAGTAGATTCTCATTTTGATAATGATGGCTACTAGAAGTTATTTCTTATATCTTGAGAACGTTTTAAAACTTAACCAGTTTGTCCATTTTCTTCATTTGGGTTGCTTCCATGAATATGTAGCTCCTATTCCAGTGTGGGACTGGAAAAAGGACTCTATGCGTTTGATATTTGCTGATTGTGCTCCACCTTGTATCAGTGGAAATCATTTCTTTTTGTCAAATCAATTCAAATCATCTTGTTCTGGCGACATTCACTGTTTAAGGACTCCAAGGGAGAACTCCATAGTGGATTTGTTTTGATATTAATCATACTATTCTTGTTTACCTTGTAGTGATTTCCTGCCAACACAAATTTACGATCTGTGAGCATCATTCAAGTAATGGCCCCTAAGTTTGTTATGTTTGTTTACAGGTATGCATCTGCTTCTCGCGAAGATAGGACAGACTGGGACAAGTTCACCAAAGACTATTTCATCAATCGCTCAACCTTGGTCTCCGTGTTCCTACTGATAGATGCCAGTATTCCTGCCAAGAAAATTGATCTCGATTATGCCAGTTGGCTGGGTCAGAATCAGGTAGACTTACCTTTTTCCTATGGTATAATCTGTTCAATATGCTATACGACAAATAAAAATACATGGGGACATGATTAATCCTTGCATTAGATGTCAAATTAAGCTGTCAATTTTACATCCTACTAATGTTAACTTTACCACACGGTGCAATTGGTGATTTATCTTTGCCTTGTCTGTGGCTTCAGATTCATTTATTCTATTTCACATTGATTAATTGAAATCTCTGCATCCCACCAGCAGAAATTTTATAATATCTGCTTTACCTGAGGTAACATAGCATTGCATATTTGATCTATGGTTGGAAAGATGCACAGAGGCTAACTTTTTGCGCTTCAGATTCCAATGACATTGGTCTTTACCAAATGTGACAAGCGGAAGAAAAGGAAGAACGGTGGAAAGAGGCCAGAAGAGAATGTGAAAGATTTTCAGGAGTTGATACAAGGATTTTTTGATACCCCACCTCCTTGGATTATGACAAGCAGTGTTACTAATCAAGGTCGTGATGAAATCTTGCTGCACATGGCTCAGTTGCGGAACTATTGGCTCAAGCATTGAAATAAAAAAGAAAGCGGAGCCAACATCTCACACTGTGTAGGTTGTCCAAAAGGGAAACCTATGTTTAGTCTTCTAGATACATTCTTCACAATCCTTGTGATGTTTCACTACTCCTGGCGGGAAAAGCAACAAAAACAACTGCCAAATCTGCTCTTAAGATTACTTGATGGCTATCTTCTTTTTCTTCGTGAGTTTGTGCTGTTGGGCTGACATGGAGTAGCAGAAGGGATGAGATCCATAATAGAATCCAGAATCTAGCTTGTGGCAGATGCCATACATGCCTTAATAGCTAAGAGGCTAGTTGCTTACACGAGGGAAGGAGGCATTTTATTTTGTGGGGTGGGACCAAGAAAACCACTGCTAGATTGTTTGTAATCGCACTGTATTATGTACGTTAAGGGAGAACTCCATTATAGGGAAGAACTATTATGTCTTTGGCTTATATATGTAGTGTATGATAGAACAAATCCAACGTGATGCAAGGATTCTTGTGTTGTGTTTACTTTTTTGATTTAGGAATTTTCTTTTTTCACTGTATGCAAGGATCTTAGACTTGCATTGTGCACTATGTAAGGACCGATTTGTGGTACCACCTACTTGTATGATCCAGCGTACTTAAAAAACTGTGGTTCCTTTCAATTTGTTACCCACAACAAATGAAGGGAAATCAAGCACGGGAAAAAAAATTTTGATGCAGCCGCAATAAGATTTCTTTGAGGTGATCTGGACTAAACTTGGCAAAAGAACGTATTAGAGAGAGTCACATTTCCAGCAACTATTTTCTATTAGGTTCAATGAACTTGAGGTAACACAATCCACGAATAAGACTTCGACTAGGAAAATCCATGAAACTCTACATCATCTACTTTAAGCCATTCGCAAATTACTTCAAAACAAGACGCATACTTCAATTTCTTATATCCTTCTAAAGAGCAAATTCCTTACATGAAATTTAAAACAATTTATCAAATAAACATCTGATTCTATGGCTACAAACTACTCCAGGTAGAGGGCACAAATGGGGGAAGAACGGTCAGGAGGAACTCGCGTGCCAAAACAGGGATAAGGCAAGGCAAGAAAAAACGGAGGACATACGCAAGAATGAAGCAGAATAGTAATCATTCATAACTCTCCAACATTTAAAATATCCAGCTAAATAACAAGTGACAGCCATTTAAACAGCAATCCCAAAAATTTGTTTTAGAATTCAGAAACATTGAGAAAACCACAAACTTTCAATCTCTCCCTAAAGCTTATGATGAGGCAGCTGCTGCTCGCTTGTTCCTTGGAGTTGCTTGAGTACCTAAACAGTACACATTTGCAAGGATTCAATCAGAACACATCCTAAGTAATAAAAGACAGGCACCCAAGAACAGATTTTCATAACTAAATTAAGACTTACCCTCACGGAAGTTAGTCTTGAACCTGCGAGCAACATGGCGGAGATACCTCATACGGCCAGTTCCAGTGGTCTTTCGGCGGATAGCCTTCACGCTCCAGTTATCTGAGCAAAACACAAGAAAAAAACACGATGAATTTACCACAATTCATAGGAGAAACAACCAAATAAGCGAGCACACATAAAACATTAAACCAAGCCACTTCCTCACAGTGAAGATTCCACAAGGTAAAGAGCACAACTAAAAGAGAAAACAAACTACAACAATCCAACATGACAGCAACATCAATTGCCCGCAATCCAACAAGTTTAACTAAAGAATATTACAACTCCGGTCCAAAACATCAAGGCATACATACAGCAAGTACTATAAAATTAAGAAAGTGAACCACCTAGCTTTGATCTATAAAACTAGAGTAGCAAAAAAAAGCTCATTAGCAAATAAATACAAACACAAAAAAAAAACATCAAAAAGAAAATGCATCCGCTTTTCTAGATCTCGAAATGGAAAGGAAGAAGCTCGATGAGCACAGGTGTTTGAGAAACGGCACTTACATTTTCGGAGACGGGCGGCGGGGTAGCCACAGGCACCGCAACGGCTCTTTTGGAGGTGGAAGCTCCTGCGGCCGCACCTCACACAGAGAGTGTGGGTCTTGTTCCTCCTCTTACCAAAACTCCCTGTTCCTTTCCCCTACAATAATTAAAGAAAAGAAGCCACAAGCACCAGGAATATAAGCGAAAAATCACATGGCAAGACACATAATCACTGGCGAATAAACGGGGCGAAAGAGGGGGATGGATGTCTGGAGGGAGAGAGTACCATTGCTTGTTCTTCTGGTTCGGCTGCAGCAAAGTCTTCGTGCACACAGAGGGTTAAGTATATATATAACCAGGGATATTGCTAGGGTTTGGTGAGGCTCTCTGCTGTGATGACTACAACTAGGGCCTAGGGCTGCAAGCATGGTCTTGGGCTTGAAGTTTGTGGCCCTCGAGCCTTATCGGGCTACTCAGTACTGGGCTAGTAATTTTCTTGCACCGAAGACATCATTAGTTAGCATTATAAAAGAGTCACTCGAAAACCTGAAAGTGGATACTGGGCCTCACTGGCCGGATAATATTGGACCCGTAAAGTAGTGTGTTAGGCTAGGAACAGACTAAATTATCAGTCAAATCAGATTTTACTTTTGAAGTAAATAAAAAAAATAATTATTTTCATCAATACTATTTCTCTATCAAAGTACGAAGACAGCTAAACAGCAGCAAAACAGGCGAAATTATTAAAATATCCTTTTTTCAGGCAAAACTATTAAAATATCTTTTTTACTATTTTAATTTACGTTAAACTAACTTCTCCTATTCTCCCACCAAATTAACATTAATTATTTCTGAACTAATTTTTCCTAACTTTTCTTATTCCTCAATCATCACGATTCAAATCAACATTAATCATTCTTAATTTAACTTTACTTATTCCTAAAAATTAAAGTCAAATTAGTAATAAACTGAAAACCCTAATTATATTGTTGTTGGAGGGGTGACGACATCTAGAAGGAACAAACCTTGCAGAGTTTATTTCTATGATATGTATTTTTAATTTTTCCTAACTTTTCTTATTCCTCAATCCTCACGATTCAAATCAACATTAATCATTCTTAATTTAACTTTTCTTATTCCTAAAAATTCAACTCAAATTAGTAATAAACTGAAAACCTAATTATATTGTTGTTGAAGGGGTGACGACAGCTAGAAGGAACAAACCTTGCAGAGTTTATTTCTATGATATATGTATTTGTTTCTTATTATTTTGTTTCAGTAATTAATTTTTCTATTTTTTAGGTGGGCGTAGAAAAGGTGGTTTATTTCAGCACAAATCCAAATTCACTGGTTTTAGAAGCGCAAATCTTTGAGTAATTTACACATTGATTTCTTCTTTTTTTATTATTTTTTATTTCAAATTCCTCTATAAATTTATCACAAAAACCTTTAAAAGTGAAGAAAAAATATCACGACTTTCTTGTATAGATGAACAGAACAGACAAGAAGCATCAGTAGTAAAAAACCTGCACTTTTTTTTTCTTTTACCCCCACATCTTTGATTATATCACTTTTATTATTAGTGTTCTGTTTCAGTTGTTATTTTACACTTGCTGAAAACCTGTGTTGTTTGGTCTATGACCAAATCATTTACTGAGTTTTCCTGTGCAGATGGACTACCAACAAAGTAGTTTGATGCACAGATTGTTCTATGTATTGACCTTTTTTTACTGACTTCTGGTTCTATTTATTTTTATTTTTGTTCTCAATCAGCCTTCTCCACTGAAATTGATCATAAGAGGAAGTAATCGTGAAGCGCCCCGACCCGTATTTACCGTACATAGTAAACACGTGCCGGAACTGTACGACTGACCAAACAAAGCCCAGCATACAGTGTATACAATAGAAACTCTGGCTTAACAGCCCAAATTATAGACATCAGAAATCTGCCCCTTCGGCTCAACAACAAAACATATCACCCGAACCCGGGATCATCAATAATAACACAACCGGCCCAATGGCCCAACAATAGCAATAAACAGCACAGCGGAAGACTTAATAACTCACAAAGACACTGTATGCGACACATGATGCAACCATGGATCCGAGTCCTGTCCAAGGGATAACGCCACAGCCTGTCTGGAATGCAACATACCTGAACCACAAATAACTCAACCTACGGGATGAAAGCCCGCAGGTGAGGGGTGAGTCCGAAGTGCTCACAACTATGGATAAACGATCAATATGCAACACTACAAAATACTCAAGGTCGAAAACAGGCTTAACAACCAAACACACCAGACCAAAAGACTCGACCCAAAACTGGACTAAGACCAAAAAGACTTAAAGAAAAATCCAATTTCTAATTTTATCTTTTCGGGCCCCGTCACGGATAAGCTAGGGTCGTACCAGGTTATCAACCTGTTCCTGGTGCCAGATCAAAAAGAACCCGGGATCAACATCCCAATAACAAGCTCAGGGATCAACATCCTAATCTAACCGGCATCAACATGCCCATCACAAGTAACCCAGATCATGGCCACCACAAAACAGTCTCAAACCATCTGATCGTACCTCTACTTACCACGTGACAATTATATCATCATCATCCAAAACCAAATCTCAGGGATCAACATCCCCAGCCAAAATACCAGGATAGTCATCCCATCCAAAACCAAGGATCGACATCCTTATCACATTTTATTATTTAATCCGTTATTCGTTGTACCAAAAAGACACAAGATAAACATCCAAAACTCATCGTACGGGGATAAACATCCCAAAAACAAATCATGACACTAGGATAAACATCCCGAATCAAACCACAGCAAATGCAACAATCAACAGTGCAACAATCATCATACACAACAACCGAGTAATACAGGCACATATTGAAGGAAATCCATCCTCACCTTAGCCGATTACTCAACTCTGAAACATCAACCGGTCCAAGTCGGCTCCTCGGGAAACTGCCCGATATCAAAACCTATATAACAAAACAATATATATACTCACATAAGATGCACATAAGAGTATGCCATGATGCCAATACTGCGAAATAAATCCATCCCGGTTCATATCCTTTATTATCATCTTTTACCGAAAATATTATACCGTACGTATATCCGAATATAATTTCGGTACCATACTATAATTAAAACTCTTTTCAAAATATTTTCATAAATTAATTATACTTTTCCCAAAATATAATCACCATAATTTTCTGGAAAAGATAACATATGTATATATATATTTTCTAATTTTTTATAAAACTATTTACCAAAATATAATTACGAAATGTTATTATTTATCAAAAATATATATATATATATCATATGTAACAGTCCGGGTAAAAATTTGGATTTTTACCGGGGCTGTAAAAGTCTTTTTACAGTAATTTACCGAAAGAATTAATCTTGGGTAATTAATTCAAGGTAAATCGGGTGTCGTTTTTCGAAACTGAGGCTTTTTCCGCGCTCGAGATTTTTTCATGGATTTTTCGGGCCTAAGTTGGTATTTTTCGAGTCCCGGAATCCTCAGAAAAATCACACCGGAAAATAACCAAGGGGGTATCAGTTATTTTCTGGTCCGAATCGGACCCGCCTGTATTATTGAAGGCGGCACAGCCTTCACATGTCACACAGTAAAAAAAATCTGTATAAAATTGATTGGAAGGAAGGAAGGAAGGAAGAAAAAAGGAGAAGGGAAAAAAAAAGAGGGAAAGAAAAAGAAAAGAAAAGAGAGAAAAAGAAAAGAAGAGAAAAAAAAAGAAACAGAAAAAAATAATAAAAACAGAGAGACTAAAAAAAATAATAAAAAAAAGGAGAGAATGTAACAGCCCGGGTAAAATTTTTTATTTTTACCGGGGACTGTAGAAGTCTTTTACCGTGATTTACTGTTGAATTAATCTTGGGTAATTAACTCAAGGTAAATCGGGAGTCGTTTTTCAAAACCGAGGGTTTTCCCGCGCTCTTGATTTTTCCGTGGATTTTTCGGAACTAAGTTGGTATTTTTTCGGGTTTCGAAATTTCTCGGAAAATCACACCGGAAAATAACTAAGGGGGTATCAGTTATTTTCTAGTCCGGACCGGACTCGCTTCAATAATGCAGACAATTGCATTATTAAACGCTTCACATGATTAACAGTAGATTTTCAGTTATAAAAGAAGAAGGAGAGGAAAGCAGAAGGAGGAGAAGAGAAGAAAAAAGAAAAAAGAAAGAGAGAAAAAAAAGAGAGAAAAAGAAAAGAAGGAGAGGAAAAGAAAAAAAAAGAAGAAAAAGGAAAAAATAGAAAAATAGAAAAAAAAGAGAAAGGGATGAAAAAAAAAAGAAATACTGAAAACAAAAGAAAAAGGAATCAGAAAAGAAAAGAAAAGAAGAAAATAGAAGAAAAGAAAAGAAATTACAGAAAATGAAAAAAAGAGGAACCGGGCCACTGTTCATCGTCACCTCCACCGTCACTGTGCTCGCCGTGACGATCCGTGCCGTTTCGAGCTCCACCGCCGCCATCAGCACGCTCGCCGTGCCATCGCGAGCTCAGCCCCGTCGTCGTCGAGCTGATCCGCCGCCTGAAGACCCCTGACGCGCCGACGACCCGAGGTGAGACCCGCGGATCCAGCTCCCCGCGCCTCTGCTCAGCCGTCGTGCCGCCTCACGCCGCCTTTCCACCGCCGGTCGAGTCGCCTCGATGTCGCCGACCCCGCGCGAGCTTCCTCTCGCCTGTGCCTCATCGTCGTCGCGCCGCCATCGCCGAACCCGAGGTGAGCAGCCCGCGACCCGCGTCCGACCCGTTTCGATTGGTCGGGTCGCGCCTAGGTCCTGTTTAGTTTGGGCTGGGTTTTGCGTGGGTTGGGTTGAGAGGTGTTGGGCCAGGCTGGGCGTGGGCCTGTGTTCGGGCCTGCTGCCTTGGTCTGGGCTGACACTATTCAGCCCAGTCCGATTTATTTTATTTTATTCTTTTTTTTAATTTAACAAAACTATATATATATATATTTTCTGGTATATAAATTTTGAAAAAAAATTATATAGTTATTTTAAGGAAATTGTGGCCAATCTAATTCTGGTATTTTTAGGAAAATATAAATATATTTACTTTGATAAATAATTAAGTTATGTTTTGGAAAAAGTATTATTAATTAGAAAAAAATATATATGTACCTTGAAATTAATTTCTGGAAATTTAATACATGTATTATTTTCTCTGGAAATTATGGTTGAGAAAATTATATATATATATATGTACTTTGTAAAATTAAAGTTAATTATATTTTGTGTTGGAAAATATTATTA